TCGAAGGGCAACACTTCGAAGGAGGCGCTCGAGCAGTGGCAAGCTTGGGAAGCCTCCAACCATGACCACGACTTCAGAGGCCGAAAGGACTACGAGAAACGCTTCGCTGTCCCGATCCAGGACTACATCCGTCGCGAGACGGTTACCGGCGAGAAGGAGGACAAACTGTTGACGGGTTGGTTGCAGCTAGACACATGTCACTGGGAGTGTTGTTTTCTGTTCGCGGTCAAGGTTGGGCTGTCCTCATTGCTCAATGCATTTGGGATCATTCGGAAATTGTCATGCTTCCTGTGCGATGCGCAGAAAGTGCTAAAGGAATTGAACCGATGCACGAGTCCGAAAGAAGACTAGGGTCACATAAGTAGTGTATGGTGCCGGAAACATCGCAGGAAATCAGCCATGGCAGCAAAGTCAAGAAGGGCAGGGAGGCAGAGCAAATGCTCGAGGGATGCGCAGCTATGATCCGCAGGGCAAAGGACACTGCCCATGGGTTTGACATGCAGCCATTCAATTTCGGCAAAACAGCGTCTGCAGTGGAGGCGGAGCTTGAGTCGTCGCCGGAGAAGTCTGGTGGCCTGGGTTGGGAAGCCAGTTCGGAAGCCGCTGTTGATCTCGGACTGGAGAGACTCGAGACCGCGAGTGTGAGTGAAGCAGGAAACCCCGCTGCTGGTGGGAATGCTTCTGGTGCTGGTCGAGAGCAGGATGACAAGAGTAAGGCCAAGCCCAAGACTCGAGATGTTGGTCGTTTTCGAGTGTCCAGCTTCGAAATGCAGCGAAGGGCTGTAAACAGCATCACAAACGAGGCTAACATTGCCCTGCAGTCAAGTGCAGAGGCCTTGGAGCAGCACGAGAGCAAGAAGGATCAGTTTGGCCATTTCATTGCTATCGTGAAAGTGCGCAGGGCTTTGTTTGATGCTCTGACCAACAAGTCCAGCGAGGATTTCAAGCGGCATGTCGAGGATTTGAATGCAAAGGCCCTGTCCCTTCAGCCTGTGCCCAGGGCCATGCTTGTGAAAACGCACGTCTTGGAGCAGTTGCAGGATTCGCTTGAACAAATCATGCAGAAGGAGACGAAGGAGGAAATCGAGAAACTCTGTTCCCGCTTAGCCGACCAGTGTACAATTCACGTTCAGCTGCGGAACTCCCTGAGGAATTCCACCCGAGACCTTGAGAATGCAATCAGGGCTGATGTGAAGAAGCAGGAGCGAGATGCTGAAGCACAAGCCAAGAAGGCTGCCAAGAAGAAGCAGACCGCAGATGCTTCAAGTGCAGCTGCCACACGCAAGGCCGCAGCCAAGAATTCCGAGAACGGCGTGACAATCCTGAGCAGCTTTTCGGACAAGTTGAAGTTCACCTGGTTCCCGAGATTTG